AACAGCAACTGAAAATATATACTGTATATATAGATATACATACACACATAAGAAAAAGAAAAAGTAGAAGAGAAATATAGGAACTATAAAGAGAAACCGATAGAAATTGTGCAACATGTGAAATGCACACCATTAACACACAGGACAATACACCTGACATCTGACTGGAGCCCGGGACCTTGATGGCCCTCTCGGCGAACACCGCGCCTGGCCCAACCTCCCGTCATCGATTTCCTCCCAAAGCTGGCACCACAACTCCCGCTCCGAGCTTCGCAAAAGGAATCTCATCCAAATTCCGCTGGTTTCACCGCCCAACCTCAACAACCCTCCGCTACTCCAGATGCTTCTCCTGAATGCGAGATCCATCGCCAACAAGGCTCTTCTGCTCAATGGTCTGTTTCATGCTAAGGATCTTGACTTTATGTTCCTGGTTGAAACGTGGCAGAAGAAAGATGAACACTTCCACCTGAATGAGCTTTGTTCATCTGGAGACACGGTCCTCGCGACGCCGCAGATGAAGAAGCGGGGTGGTGGCCTCACAGTCATACATCGCAACAATTCAACCTGCAGGACTTTTAACACGTTTGAATCACAGACTGTTAAAGTTGGATCCTCTCATCCCTTCTACTGCATCTTGATTTGTTGCCCTCCGGGACCCGCTTCAAACTTCCTAAAAGACTTTGCTGATTTTTTATCCTCCGTCATAAAACTGGACAGCCTTTTACTGCTTGGTGACTTTAATATCCACTTTGATGTGACAGACTGAAATGAAACCATGTAGTTTATTTCTATTTTAGAAAACTTTAATTTGTCTCAACATGTCTCAGCCCCCACTCACCAAAAGGGACACATTCTCGACCTTATCTGCCCTGTGGGACTGAATGTAAACAATGTCTGTATTGATGACTTGCAAATTAGCGACCATTATGCCATGTTCTTTAATGTAAATGCGATCTCAGAACCCCGTCCCCCCAGAGAACGACCTCAGAGGCAGATTCTGAGAAAGGATGCTGCTGACAAATTTTCAGCCTCTTTTGACCCCTCCACTCTAACAAATATAACACAGCCAGAGGTTTTTGCTCAGCTATTATACCAACAACTTTCATCTGCTTTTAATAACTGTACTGTCACAGCTAATTCAAGCTCTACTGTTAAAAAATCTGTACCCTGGATTAATGAGGAAATTCGCACTGCTAAACGTGCATGTAGACAGGCAGAGCGAAAATGGAAATCATCACAACTAACGGTCCAGAGACTATACCTTAAAGATTTAAGACTTTCACTGCAGTCCATGATGAAAGATGCCAGGTCTAAATATTTTGCACAGTTAATCACCCGCTATAAGAAAAATCCCAAAACCTTATTCAACACTATTGACTCGCTAGTCTTGCCGGGCATCCCCTCCCCATACACATCTTCAGCTTCCACCTGCCACAGTTTCCTCACACACTTCACTGTTAAAATCGAGAACATCCGGATTAGCATCCCTCTTAAACCGGCTTCTTCTCCATCAGACTTACCCATCAGACCTGACGCCAGCCCCACGCAATCGTAGTCTTCCTTTGACCTTGTAACCTCAGAATACAGTACCTTGGAACTGTAATCCAGAAAATGAAATCCTCAACCTCCCCCGCTGACGTTCCACCACCCAGCTTTTTAAAAACTGTTTATGATGTGGTGGGGCCCTCACTTGTTGACCTACTGAACCTCTCACTTACATCTGGATGTGTGCCAGTCAACCTTAAAAAAGCAATCGTTGAACCCAAATTAAAAAAGCAGTCCCTCAGCCCCTCAGATCTCAACAATTACCGGCCCATCTCTAAATTACCTTTCCTGTCTAAGGTCTTGGARAAAATTGTATCATTACAACTTACTGCTTACCTGGATGAAAATAATATTCATGACCTTTACCAATCTGGCTTCCGCAAATTTCACTCCACTGAAACCTTTCCTCCACGTGTATCAAATGACATACTAATGTCTGCTGATAGTGGCTTCTACATTGTTCTGCTCCTATTAGACCTTTCCTATGCCTTTGACACTGTTGATCATACCATTGTACTACGCAAGCAGAGAAACATTGGGATATCTGGTGCTGTATGAAACTGGTTTAATTCATACCTCTCCGACTGCTCTTTCTCAGTACTTCAAAATCAAACTTATTCTGAACCAGCCCAACTCAGTTGTGGCATACCACAGGGTTCAATCCTGGGGCCCCTCCTGTTCCTCCTCTACATCCACCCCCTAAGCCAGATCATTGACAATTTTCATGATGTCTCCTATCACTTCTACGCTGATGACCTGCAGTTAAACTGCTCTTTTAATGAGTCAAGTTCCCACAAGCTGATCTCTTTTTTTAGACTGTATCACAGAAGTCAACAAATGGTTCTCTCACAACCTGCTACTCCTAAATCGTGACAAGACAGAAACTCTGATCCTGGCACCTGAAAATAATATCCCTCAGATAAAAGAACAACTGGGCTCTCTGGGGCAGACTGTTAAAAAGAGCATACAAAATCTGGGAGTCAATTTTGATTCAGATCGGTCACTAGATAAACACATCAAAAATCTAGTTACCTCATGCTATTTTCAACTCCGTAACATTTCTAAACTTCGCCCCATCCTGCCCGCCTCTGACCTGGAAATGGTAATCCATGCCTTTATCTCAACCCGTCTTGACTACTGTAACAGTCTGTTCACCTACTTAAATCAGAAACAATTAAACCAGCTCCAACTTGTTCAAAACTCTGCTGCTAGACTTCTAACTAGAACATCTAAATTCTCTCACATCTCCCCTATATTATCAGACCTCCACTGGCTACCTGTACAATTCAGACTCAAGTTCAAAATCTTGGTTCTCACTTTTAGAGCTCCTATACAGCCAAGCGCCGAACTAC